CTCCTCACCTCGCTTCTCCTCTCCTCTCCTCTCCTCTCTGCCCTTTTCACCCAGGCATACACTTTCACACGAACGGCTTGTGCCTGTATGCCATATCCTTGTCTGTCTCTGTCTCTGTCTCTGCCTGTCCGTCTGTCCGTCTGTCTGTCTACCTGGGTAAGTTCATTCATTATGTAGTCAAGACAGGGGATGGGGTGGGGTTGGATGGGAGTCGGGGACTGGCGTGTGTTGGTTGGTCGATCCACACAGAAAGAGTCGGGGGGGAGGGGGAGAGTGGGGGGAGGGGAAGTATTTATCAATTGCATCATGACGTCGGAGGCGATTGCCGATAGATAGAAGGACGAGTGGGCATCGTCAACAAGCGAGCGACAGACAGACAGACAGACCGACAGCAAGAGACAAGCAAGCCAAAGAGACTGACAGGAGTCCTGATTGACGCACGCAGTGCAGTGGAATGGATGCAACGGAGGAAGCAGTGGAATGGATGTCGGCAGCTGAGTGCAGGGGTGCGCTTGGGGGAGCGGCGCGGGTGCCCTGATTGGTTGCCATTGGCCTGGCTGAATGAATGAATGAATGCGTGTGCGTGTGGGTGCGTGTGTGTGTGGCTGTGTGTGTAAGGCGTGCATCCGCGTCGCGTGCAGCATGGACTCTTGTGGTGCATGCCACGCCGCATCGCGTGCCTGCGGACGGACTGGCTGCTGCTGTCAACCAATCCACTCATTCACTAGTCAGTCATCAGTCGCTCATACATATTCCATCCATTCCGTGTGTGCAGTGAGTGCACGCCATTGACTATATATATATATTGGTGTCTCCCTCCCTCCCCAGCGCTCTTCCTGTCTTCCCCTCCCCGCCTCACAGCCGAGTGGCGGCAGGTGGCGGCAGGCGTGTGAAGCTAACACGCCTGCTGCCACATGTCGCCACCAGACTTAAGGCGGAGCGGGAGTCAACTGAAAGGTGCCGATCCATCCACTGTCCGACATATATATAAGACGCATTCGCTCGCTGGCTCGCTCTCCCCATCAGTACGCACGTGTGACGGACGAAGCACGGCTGGCTTGCCTGTGTCCACTATACCTCTACGACGCGCTTGGCAACAATGCGTCAGAAAAAAGCAGGGCTTCCTTCCTCCTTGCTTCCAATAGCATCCGCCCTGATCTGCCCTGAGCGGCCCTGTCAGTGAGCTTTGCAGCCCCCGGCTCCCCTCCCCTCTCCTCTCCTCTCACCCATCCATCAGACACACAGAATCCCATCCCCTTCACTCGCCTTCGGTCCACTAGGCAGGCATGGTGCGGTGCGTGCGATCAGACGCAGACGAGACAGACAGACAGACAGCTCAGCTCAAAATCGACGCGACAGACAGGCCTACAGACCATCCATCCATCCATCCATGTGTGTGAGTGAGTCCGTTGAGAGAAGAATTCCACCTGTCTGTGCTGCGCGCGTGTGTCGGTGAATCAATCGGACCTCCCTGGCTTCTCTCTCTCTCTCTCTCTCTCTCGCTCTCGCTCCTGCGATTTCAATGAACAAACGAAGCACCTATCTATCCACCCCTCCCACTCACGTGCACAACAGACTTGTCTGTCTGTCTGTCGGCTCGCTTCAAAGGCCATCAACCCACCCCATGTCATGTCGCGTCCTTGCTCGCACACCTGTGTGTGTATGTTACGTATGTGTGTTTACACAGTGGCTCCGGGAAGGTGGGGAGACCGCGGAGATGGCAAGGATGGATGGTAGATGGTGTGAGGAAGAGGAGATGCATGCGATCGGTCAGTCAGTCAGCAGGGTGGGGTGGGATGGGGTGGCAGCCACACTCTTGCCGTGCCGTGCCCCACTCGGCAATCTGATGTCTTCCACTGTTTCTTTCCAACCATGACCAACCTGGACGACACAGACGTGATGGATACCTTGTGTGTATCATCCAGTCTGCATCATCGAGGAAGGTGAGGAGTGAAGAGGAACACGGTGGTGACATCATTCATCAAGACAGCGACGCGAGGGGAGGGAAAACGAGAAAGATACGATCGGTCGGTCGGCCGGCAAGGCCGGGAAGGGCAGAGCAGACCAACCAAAGGAATCAACGCAGACGGTCAGACAGGCAGGGCGGCAGCCAGAAAGGTGAACACACTCAGACACAGATGGGGCGATGGAGCGAGCGATCATGACACAGCCAGCAACACGTTCACACCCACAGAGATAGACACACAGGTTGACGGAGCGCACGAAGAGCGAACCGTCAGTATACAGCAATACGCACGCGCACACACACGGACGAATAGCAACCGCACCATGGCATGCGCTGGCAGGCAGGCATGTATAGGATACACACGGCAGGCACTCGCTCACTCATGCCACTCACACGCAGAGAGAAAGAGATACGATCGGTCGGTACCTGTAGAAAGGAGATACATATAACATGCAAGATATTATAAGCGCTGGCCAGGCCTGGTGCCGGCCCCACCTGTATACCATGGCCATGCTCATACGCACACGAACACACAGACAGAGAGACAGACAGACAGGCAGGCAGGCGGGAAGGAAGACACCAAGCTTGGACGAATTATAGACCCGCGTGTGACACACACACACACGCAAGTAGAGAAAGGGGCACATACACACACAGACGTATGCAGTGAGGGAGTCCAGTTCAGTGGTAAGAAGCACTTCAGCCAGAAGAGAGAGGAGGAGACGGACGGGAAGAGTGCGACGACACGTACCACGTCTGCATGGCCATGGGCGGGAAGAAAGGAGTGAGGGAGTGAGTGACAAATACATACCTTTACATGTATATAGTAGGTAGGTAGCATCGTTGCGGCCTCTGCTGCCTTCATTTGCCGTGCTGTCCTGTCCTGGTCTCGCTCGCGCAATGAATACACAACGCATCCATCCATCCATTGCATATGTATGTAGCGAATACACATCATGATGTGTGTGTATGTATGTAATGGCACAAATAAAAGTATGAAAGCATCGAGAGAGGGAGGGAGTAGGCAGCAGGCAGCACCAGAAAGCCGTTTGTTCGTTAACAAATACCATCCACCAGCCAGGCTTCCGTGTGAAGTGTGGGCACGCACACAATGGGTGTGTGTGCGTGCTGTGGGAAAAAACGACAGCATCGGTGAACGTCAACAACCACTCTGCCGAACGCCCATAGATGTGGTCCCTCTCTCCCTCTCTCTCTTGTGTGTGTGTGCACCACGCAGACACACCGTCAGACAGCAAGTGAATGTGCGTGTGGGTGTGTTTGCGAGGAGTACACATGTAGTGCGGCCTTACAGGAGTAGAAGACAAAAAAGGCTCCCTGCTGTGTGTCGTGGTGCTGGTCCCGTGAAGCAGGCCACATGCACGCCACGCGCCACTTGGCCGGCAGACGTGTGCCCAGGTCACCCGACCGTCACAATACAGCGCACCACACACACAGACACACACACACACACACACGAACACACACGAACACGACACATGTACCCTGGTAGGTACACAGGCATACACGACATGCAGGCAACACAAAGGAGCAAACGCAAAATGGTCACCTGCCTCTCTCTCCCTCCCTCCCTCCCTCCCTCTCTCTCGCCCTCTCCACTTGAGAAAACCAACCTACCTGTCTTGTCGTGCAGACAATTGACCATCCCCACTCACCCCACCCTCCTCCCTCACCAGTTCATTCACTCACTCAGTTGCCCATGTCCACCATGCCGTCCCAGGCCATGAAGAGGGCAGCCAGCTGGCACGACACCTGCGGGTCATCCGGGAACACACTGGCCAGGCCGGGGTGCGGGGCCATGACGCCGGCCGGCAGCAGGACGGGAGGGGGCGGAATGGTCGACTGAGTGGATGACGCCGTGGTGGTGCTCACGCACTCGCCCGTGGTGCCCATCTCGTCGCCTTCGTCTGGTGCGCCGCCGGTGTCGCCGACGACCACCGGCGCCTTGTTGTGTGTGGTGATGTGTCGGTGCTGCTGCTGCTGCACGAGGTCCAGGAGGGGAGGGTGTGCGGGGGTGGCCGACAGCTGCAGCATGGTGGTGCCGTCGGTGTGGATGGTCAAGGTCGCCATCGGTGGGTAGGGCAGCCCGGCGTCGTCGAAGGCCTCGAAACGCATCAAGTAGCGCATGTCTGATGGATGGATGGAATCAACACACACACCACACACAGGGTGGGTGAGGTGAACGTAGGTCTCTCTCTTGTTTGGATGTGTCTGTCTGTGTGTGGAGTTTCTGACCTCTCCGCTCCTCAGCGAAGCCGTGAATGAAGGGGCAGTGCTTGCGGCTGCATGAGCGAGACGGGCACACCCTCGTCTTGTACGTCAGCGGGTGGAAATAGATCTCCTCTGCACACACAACACACAACACACAGACAGAACACACATACGCCTCCCTCCGTCTCTCTCCCGTCTCCCCTGCCTGTCTCGTGCTGACCTTCCGTGTGTGCCATCGGACATGCGCGGCCTCGCACACACATGTGCCCCTGTGGACACGGCAAGTGGCAGTACGCCAGCACCTGTGTGCTGCCCCGGACGAAGGGACTCCGACGCACGCCGCCCTGGTGCCTGTGGCTGAACACACAGCTGCCGGGGTCGCACCGCCCGCCTCGCGAGCATCGCTTGGTGCGGAAGGTGACTAGCTGGTTCTCTGACAGCACCGAGTGGGAGACCGTCGGCATGGGCGGATCTGTAGATGTGGATGCAGATGCAGATGCAGATGCACTGAGGAAGGGTGCGGCGGCAGCAGCGAAAAAGAAAGGGAGTAGCAGTGCGAGCTCAGAGCTCTGCGATTTGAGCGGGAAGCCGTCGAAGAAAATGCCACCTCAAACACGCCTCCAGTCCTTCTGTTCGACTCTCTTGCGAGCCCTCTTGTTTCCAGGCTCGGTAGAAAGGAACACAAATACACCTCCGACGCACCTTTGACCGTCTTCTCTTGCTTCTGCCTTCTCTTTTTGTGAAGGCGGATCTCGTTGAGGATCCCAGCTTCGAGGACACATTCAGCAACTACATTGCGTGGCCGGCTGTGGACGAGCCCCAGGCTGAGTCTGCCGACAAAAGCGACAAGAAGGATCAAGGGGAGGTGAAGCGGTTTCCCGTGTTTTGTTTGCCGAATGGAGGGGCCTTTGGGGGGCACGTCGGCGTGTTCTTCCATGCCAATGCCGAGGTGCGTCGAGGAGGAGAAGGGGGAAGACGCTGTTGCTTTGCTGGGGCAAGTGAATGCACGACGCCTCGTGTGTGGTTGTGTGTGTGGTTGTCTGTGTGGTTGTGTGTGCGTGTGTGCAGGACATGCGAGACTCTCTTGCGAGGCCGGTGTGACACTGTGTGCCTGCGGGAAAAGGGCCGCTTCTCATGAATGAACGAATGCCTCTGTGTGTGTGTGTGTGTGTGTGTGTCTCAATGTGTGCCTGCCAGGGGATGCGACTGCTGATGGACGTCCGTACAGCAATGGGCGACACTCACCCGGCTGATTGACTCATGTACTGTGGTGTCTCGGCTCGGTGCCTTTCTCTTTTTCTTGCCTTCAGGTGTTGCGAATGGATTTGTTCATATGCGAGTATCCGGGCTACCGTGATGAGCAGTCCACTAACGTGTCGACTGTGGAAGAATTCGAGGCACGCGCCAAACGGATTGTGACTTTCATGGTGGAGGAGCTGAAGAGGCCCGTCGAGAACCTTATTCTCATCGGTAGCCAGACGACGAATGCATGAAGGACACACGCCGATTTGCGAAGCTTGATACATGTCTCCCGCAGGCGCGTCAATCGGCTGCAGCGCAGCGCTGGTTGCCAATCACTTCTGTCAGCTGCAGTATGGCACAGACCCTGCCGGGCTCATCTTGCTGTCGCCCTTTTCGTCCATCGAAGCCATCGCGGCCGACATCTACTCCAAAGCCATCATCGGCTCCATCACGCGCATGATGGTCAAGGGCAGCGGCATCGACCTCCGCCCCCTGATGCGGAACGACTACCTCGTCAAGTTTGTGCGGTGCCCGCTGCTGATCCACCATGAGACACGGGATCCCGTCGTCGGCGTGGAACACAGCCGACGTCTCTTCGACCTCTGCCCACTGGAGGAGCCCATGAAGCTCCTGTGCACCCCTGCATTCACCAGCCACAGCCTACTTGCCGAAATGTCGTTGCCCGTGACGCTCAAGTGGTCGGTGAATCTCCCGCCAGCTCTGCCCCACTGCCGCGCGTCCATCGCGCCCTTTGCTGCCAAGAGTGAGGGCAACAAGTCAACAGCGGTTGGCGACACAAGAAAGAAGAATGCCGCCATCAGCTGCAACTTAAACACAAGGATCCTTTCGACAGTCGACGGCTCGCCACTTGAGACATGGAAGGGGATCTTCGCCAAGTGCCGACGAAATGTCTCGAAGCTGTGGGGGTACGTCAATCCGGTTCTGGCCAAGGGCTTCATCAAGTCGCACAAATGGCCGGCAATGCAGGAGAAGCGCCGCTACCTGCTCTCAGAAGACCCAGATCACATCCAATACGACAGGGCACTGAAGGGCTACTTCACGCGGGTCGACTCCCTTTCTACCTGGGGCTTGCCCAAGGACACTTGGCATGACATACTGCAAGCACATCGGCCGGTGGAGCGACCCCTGCGACGCAACAAGAGCCTCTCCGTGCTTCGTCCCCACCCAGAAAAGAGAGAGCAACCCGAGAAGGTGCGGGCGGCTGCTCTCGCCGCGCCCCTGCCGAAGTGGCTGGCAGAGATGAAGGAGCGCCTGAATCAAGACGTCAAGTCAACAGAGGAGACGGCAGAGACATCGGTTGTGTCTGCCGAGTCTGCTGCTGTGCAGGAGGTGTCGTCTGCGGCCTCCGGCCGTGTGTTTGAGAGGTCTGCGGCAGTGAGTGTCGGGGATGGTGGGCCGGCCAGCTCGGTTGGTTGCAGTGAGGGTGGGTCAGATGAGGCAGAGCAAGATGAGACTGAGGGGGAGAGCTGATTGGTGATAGGGCCTTGTGGTGTGTGGATGGATGGGATGAGATGGCCGGATAGGAAATTGGCTGGGACTGTAGAGGATTGAATACGGTGCACTGCAGCATATGTATGTGTATGGTGCCGTCGTGCGGGTTTGAAGAGCAGTGCTGTGTTCCGTGTGCGTGCATTGAGTGCATGGACGGCCGATGACATTCACTGTCCACATGGAAAATTATCGTACATGGCACACACGGATGTCATCAACACACCATCGATTCTCTCGGGCGTCTCGTCCCCGCCAGCATCCACCCTGTTTAGCGCAGCCAGCACACAGGGATGGCGCAAGAACCATGGGACAGATTCTGCGCCATGCCTGGTATCCATCTACACCAAACAAATTGGACTGGCTGTGGTGAGGGATCGCAAAAGATCACATGAGTGACGGACACATACGTACTGACTGACGGACTTACACGTACTTCTGTTTCCTCTCCTTCTCCCTGTGTGGCAGACTCCCGCCGGCAGTCTAAGTGACCGACACGCCCATCGTCTCTCTCTTTGGTTCTGTCTATGAAAACAGCGGCGCATCTCGACCGCCTTGCAATGCATGCACAGTTCTGCGCACATGGCAGGCAGGCCGATCAGGATGCGTCGCCATGCTCAATGACAAGACTGGGGAGGGCAGGGCAGGGCAAATGCTCCATCATCCCACATACACATCCCTTCCTTCCTCGGTGGCACGCCACTCTTTCTCCCTGCCTTCCCTTCCTCGGTGCTGACTGAATTACTTACAGTACCGAACAAAGACCACCTAACACAGTCACCCGCCCTCTCTCCCTAGCTATGTCCTCGCCACACCAATGGGCGTGGGTAACTCCGTCCCGCCCCCCTGACTGCCTCCCTGCGCATGGCCCCCCGTCTGGTCCGCAAACCGCAGCGCCTCGCCTCTTCTGCAGTTCCGCCACGCCCACAGCCCCCCCGCCACGGCTCCCAGGATCAGAATCACCCACACTATGAACTTGGACACCGACGTGAGCAGGATGATGACCCATATCACAGTGAAGAGGATGGCTGCGTAGAGGGCGTAGCGCGACCACTTGTGCAGGTTGGACCCCTCGGGCTGCTTTCGGTACAGCCACCACACCTGCAGACAACAACACAACAGCAGCGCAGCAGAATACATTAGAGGTAGGTGTTCGTGGATCTTGATGCAGACATGCTCGCCACCCCTGTGTGCGTGTGCCTGGCGTGCAGATCAGATCTCTCTTTACCCCGAAGCCTGTGGGTGGAAAGCAGCAGGAGAGAGCGGTGCCGATCTTGGCGCAGGTGGCATCGTCCCCCGCCGGAGAAGATGCAGCCGCTGCTTGCGGAGGGAAAGGCATCTATATATCAACGATGGATAACAGCTGCCTGTGCGTTTTTTCCGAGCTCAGCAGAAGCAACGGTTTCGGGAAGCGCCCTAGCCGGCAGGTGCGAGCTTCCTTACGAAGAAGGAAGCAGGAATCGGGAGTTGAGGAGCTTTGGTAGCCACCATGGTGCGCAACGATTCAGCCAGGATATATATCGGCAACCTGCCCGACGACGTCCGTGAGTCGGAGCTCGATGACGTCTTCTACAAGGTAACCACAGCACAGCACACACCGAAAAGGCAGGGAGGCAGCAAGGATGCACAGAGGACACGCGAGACGGAGAATGAGGCGGGGAAGGAGGCGGTGGGAAGGCAGCTGGCGAGAGAGACGGAGACACTGACACAGACAGGACAATGGCGCGTGTTGCGCCGTCTGTTGATCGTCTGTATGTGCGTGGGGTGTCTCTGTGTCCAGTTTGGCCGCATCGTGGACATCGAGATCAAAACTGGCCGCACTTCCAACGGCACGGCCTACGCCTTCGTCGAGTTCAGCGACCCTCGGTCAGACACACATACACACACACACACACACATCCACACACACAGTGCACGGAGAGAGGGACCACACGCCACCGTTGACGCTCTGCCGTGTGTTGTGTGCGGTGTGTGCCTACAGGGATGCTGGTGATGCGGTGGAGATGCGTGACGGGATGCGCTTCGGCGGTAACCGCCTGAAGGTCCAGTTCACAGGAGAGCGACGCCCGCGGCGCAACGGACCCTACGACGGGTTCAGGAAGGGATCCAACCCTCCCAAACGGTGAGGAAACACCCATGCACACTCGCCCGTCTCCCTCCCAGAGGTCTCATCAGCTGCGTTTGCGTGTTTGATGTGGTTCTTTACATGTACAGGACCGAGTATCGTGTGATAGTGGAGGGGTTGCCGGACAGCGCCAGTTGGCAGGATCTCAAGGACCACATGCGGTCGGCCGGCGCCGTCGGATACGCAAACGTCGAACACGGGGTGAGGGAGTGAGTGAGCGAGGCAGGCACCGCACACCACACCACACCACACCACACACACAGATACAGGACAGGCATGGAGCCTCGATGAGCGAACACCTGTGTGTGTATGTGCTGTGTGTGCTGCAGAAAGGTATTGTTGAGTACGAGAGAGAGGAGGTGAGTGAGATGGGCAGGGCAGGCAACACGCGGGAGGGCACACACACGACGCCGCATTCGCCATGCATCTCTCACCTCACACTGTGACGTGCGGTGGCTGCAGGACATGCTTCACGCCATCAAGCGTCTGAATGGGTCTACGTTCAAGAACCCCTTCTCGTCAGGAGAGATACGGGTAGGTGGATAGCATAGCCACACACGACGACCGAGGGAGGGATGGAGCCATCCTGCCTGGCCCGTCCTCCCTGCCTGCGTGCCCTTCCTTCCCCTGCGTGTGGTGCCGTGAATGCCGTGGCTGCCGGGCGGGAGAAGAGGGGGCCTATCTATCCATCTAAGGACCATTGAGAGAGGGAGGAGCAAGCAAGGGAGATCCGTAGACATGAACACACAAGGCCTTCCCCCAGGAGGGAGCCGAGCCGAGCCGATCGGATCGCCAGCCATGCTATCCATGGACTCATGGGACGAGCCGAGAGACAGCGAGCGAGGCTTTTTTGGGCTCACTAGATGGATGCATCCAACCGTGCTTTTGCTGCTGGCTGCCTACCTGGAATGGATGGGTGGATGCCTGGCTGCCTGCTGGACTGATGGAGCAGAGCAAGGGATCCAGCCCACGAGAGACCTTTTGCGTGCCTTGCCGTGCCTTGCTGTGCCTTGCCGTGCGTACCCTAGGATGGGATGGACCGGACAAGAGCCAGCCGTGCCGTGCCGTCCGTGACTGGTGCTGCCCTGCCTGCCCTGCCCCCTATGTGTGGTGTGTCCCTCTCCCTCCCTCCCTGATTCCCCTCCATCCCCTCCCCCTCTGGCGGGCGGGCGGGCGCGTCATACATGGCATCCACCCATCGCCCACAGGAGGAGGAAGGAGGTGACACGGTAGCTGATTGGTCTGACTTCACTGTGTTGTCTGTCTGTCTGGCTGAGTCGCTCTCTTCCTCTGTATCTATCTCTCTGTTGTGCTGCCCGCCTCTGGTCTCTACCTGCCCTGAACTGTGCTGTGCTTGCATGGCTTTGTCTGCCTCGTTCGCCTGCGTCCATCTTGCTGTCTGTTGTGTGTGTCTGTGTGTGGAGATTCAGGTGTTTGAGGACCGCGAGGGCCGCGGGGGCGAGGGCCACGACGCCGGACGCGACGCGTGAGCCAGAAAAGCAACACACACACGACACTGACGACGATTGACACCGACTCCTTGTTGTATTGTGTTGACACGGTGCTCTCCGGTAATGTGCAGCGACCGCGATCGTGACCGTGACAACCGTGGCTACGATGACGACCGTCGCGATGAGCGACGCGACGACCGAGACAAGTAAGGAGGGGAGAGAGAGAGAGAGAGAGAGACGCATTCACATGCACTTGTTCTTATTCGCGTCGTTTGGGTGTTGTGTGTGTATGCCTTGGAATCCTTTTCATTCAGGGAGGCCGACCGTGACCGCGAGGAGCAGCGCAACGGCCACGTCGACGACTGACTGGCTGACTAACTTGCCCATCAACGAACTACTCCACCCACCCCTCAGGACCACACACACACACCCATTAGACCGCCCGCACCAAGACACACCAGAAATTCAGTACTGAGTGAGGGACCGGGAGAGGGAGGCGCTGCCTGCATCGATCTGAGAGAGTTTTGAAAGCATCTGCCTGTCTGTCTGCGTGAGTCAGCGAGTGAGTGACTTAATGTGGACTGGCTGGCCGGATGATGTGTGTGGGCAGGAGTGAGTGGCTCGGCCGCTTGTGTGTGTGCATGGCTGCAATTCGTTGAGTACAGTGAGTGAGACTGAGGTGTGTTCTGTGCGCATCTCTGTCACCCCGACAGGCAGGCAGGCAGCTGCGCTGCGTCGATTGCCGTCCATCGACTGACTGACACGAGTGTAATTCGGACACTGCATGGCATGGGTGTGGGGTGTGGGGCGGCGGGCTGAAGGTTCAATCTCCTTCAATGAGATGACTGACACCAGCGGGTGGTGGCGCAGGAATGAGCGGCAAAGTTGTGTCAGTCAGTCCACCAGAGACGCATTTATTGTGCGATGTCTGCCCTCACAGAGGCCAGCCAACACATTCGGCTTTGCAAGCACCATTCATATGAGATGAGAGAGACATCATGACGATGAATGTGCCATCGACGTCATCCATTCATCGCCAGCAGCCCTGCAGTTGTCCGAATGGCGTTCTCGATTTCTTGGGAGCGTGTCGTCTGATTGATCGTCATATGGTACAAGACAAATTCACTCTACAATTAATTGTCCATCACGAAACAACAAATCAATCGGCGAGGCCAGTGAGTGAGTCCAGACCGTCAGGCAGGCACACAGCATGGCACAGCACAGCTTCCAAGGCAGATGTGCAAAGTCCGCCACTTGAGGGCAAACAAACACACACGCGCACACGCAGACACACCAGCCAGCCATTCGGCCGCTCGCCAACAGCAGCGCTACAAAAAGTACCGAGTGAGTGGCCTCACTAATGTGGCAACGCCACACAGACACGGAGGCGGCAACAGCATTACCATGAGCGGCGGCCATCTCTTGCAATATAGTAGCAGTTGCTGGCCCCTCCGGCTGCTGCGGCACCCCCACCTGCCGTAGACGCACACGCACACGCAGACAGACAGACAGACAGACATGGATGTAATTGCGGGCGGCTTGATCGATGTGAGGGACCACACATGTGCTGTTTGTCGTATGTGATGTGGGACGGCCTGGTTTCCTGTCTACCTGCAGTGCCCTCTCCTACGTCATCCAAATCATTGCCGCCACCAGCGCCACCACCACCATCTACAGCAAACACACACACACACACAGAGGGTCCGGTGGCCATCAATCTCATCATTGCTGTCACTTGTGTCCCCGTCTCCCCCCTTAGCTGTCCGTACCATCGCCGCCGTTGGTCTCATCCCTCTCCTGCTGCTGCTGCTGCAGTCGTCCGTCGAAGACGTATGGCGCCACCGCGCCAAATGCCACACGAGCCAGCTGAGTGGCGACGTGTTGCTTGCGCAGCTGACTCCCACCCATGGGTTCGTCAGTGGTCTCGACACACACGGACACTGCAGACAAGGAAGGCAGGCGGAACACGCCACATGTATGCGGCCGCCTGTCCGTCAGTCATTCTGACCTCGGTTGTTTCCGATATCCTCAATAAAAAGCAATGCGGCGAAGGGGCGGTTGTTGTCGGTCAGCACCAGCTCTCGCACACGACCGTCAGAGCTGCTCACTGTCGTGGTGCATCCCGCCACTCGTGTGTGGAGCGACTCGGTCAGCAGGCCATGCAAGCGGCCGCCACTAACATACCTGAACCAACCACACGGACACACAGAATGAACCACGCACCTCTCTTGCCACTAGTGCCATTGACGTGTTACAGACATACCTGTTGAGTCATGTCGAATGTGACGGAATGAGGAAGCAGTGCTTGAGGATCATCCGCTTGGCGAATGAAGACACCGACGCATATGTCTCCGACGCATATGTCTCCGGACCACCGGTCGACACCCATTCGTAGAAGGATCCCCATCCAACGTCCCAGGTGTTTTCGAACGTGATCCGGCAGGTCACTGGTGGGTCGTGCCCCCGTCGGTGCTGCCGATACAGATGGCCCGCAGGGAGGGGCGGGTCGACCTCCAGCCGGAAGCCGGGCTCGTCCTCGATGGCCCGCCACTCATCGCCGTGCTGGAACAGCTGCAGGCAGCGGTGTGTGTTGTCCCAACCGAACTCCAGGTGGCGGCCGACCATCTTGAGCTGCGCCAACACACGGGGAACCGATCTATACGCCTACACACACGACCACACACACACAGACAGAGAGAATGAAGCCCCCTCCCTCCCTCCCCGCCCCTCTGTTTGCTGGCTCACCGTCTTGTTTGCGTGTGTGTTGATGTCATCGGATGTCATCGGCTGTGATGATGCCGGGCAGCTCATAATTCAGGTGGATGAGTGGCTCAGCATCAGGAGGCAAATCATCAAAGATGCAATTCGCGCAGTAGCAGTAGCGGTAGGGTGCGAACTGCGCCGCCACCTCAAGCACCTCGCCGATCTCGTCCCATGGCCCCTGCTCCACCACACACACAGCCGCCAGCAGATCATGTGTGCCGAACTGGTCGTCGTCGAAGCCCAGCAGCTGCACTTGCCGCCCATTCACCACCCGCCGCAGCCCCGCCTGTGAGCCGACAGAGTGGCGGAGCCGATCTCTCAGCTGGACGGCTCCGAAGAGATCTCTGAGCCACGTGCAGGTGGCCCTCAGCCGCACGACGTCCTCTATGCTGAGCAGCCAGTAGGTGCGCCGGTCGACGAAGATATACGAGAAGGGGTGCTGCTGCTGATGATGCTGCGGTTGCTGCATCTGATGACGAGATCAGGTGGAGAAAACACGCCGGTGAAGAGCCACGATCGCGAGGAGGAAAATAGCTGATTTGGCAGATGTCAGCGTCGGGAGGGGAGGGAGAGGGGGGAGGGAGGGGGGGAGCAGGGTGCCGCAGAGCGTGAAACCAATCCCCTGGCCCCAAACGAACCGAAGATGTTTGGCCTGCTTCTTGGTGAGCTGGCATTGGGCGGCGCCTTCTTTCTGGCCGCCAACTTCATCCCCGAGAAGAGACGCCGGAAGCTTCTCAAGGGTAACGAGGCGTTCCTGACAGGTGACCGACGGAACGAACACACTGAGACCACCAAGCATGCCATTGCCCATCATACGCTCGTCTCTGCCTTCATTTGGCTGGTCTTTTTTCAGCCATCCAGGAGGAGAACGCCCGGGAGGCACAGGGCGCCAACCACGGCGAGGCCACGCGGGAAGGTAGGAGGGCAGGGAGGGGGCTGCGGTTGGTGGGTCACGCACACCCATCTGTGTATGAGCTGTTTCCGTTGGGTCTTTCAGATCCGCAGGAGGGCCAGGGCGAGGCCGACGAGGAGGAGGAGGGCCAGGGCCAGGCCGACGAGGTCAACGAGGCCAACGACGAGGAGGAGGAACTTCAAGAGGAGAACGAGCGGACAGGCCTGCTCACAGGAGGTGAAATGAGATGAGATGAGACGGAAGGAGATGAGACGGAAGGAATGGCCACTGAGCAAAGGAACGCCCCCGTGTCTCTTTGTGTGTGTGTGACTCAGAGGCCAATGTTTGGGCCACAGGGGACTCGGAGGAAGAGGGATCAGCGACATCAGGTAGGAGGGCTGCACACAGCAATGATGGGCGTCGGGCGCACCTGTCTCTCCGCATGAGCTGTCTTCGATGTGCCTTTCAGAGTCGCAGGGGAGTGGACAGACAGACGGTGAGATGAAAGACCGACTCGATTTCATGCATGTCTCTCTCTCTCTGTCTCTCTCTGTGTGTGTGTGTGTGTGTGTGTGTGATCTTCAGAGCCTGAGTACAGAGAGCTCGTCTTCGTCGACCCGGTCGAGCTGGCAAGTGACCAGAACAAGTACATCGAAATGGAGAAGACCATCCAGAAATACGACCAGGAAAAGGTCAGCACACCCAGACAACCGAAGCTCTTAACTCACTTCCCCACTTGTCTTCTACTTTTGTCCATGCGGTCTCTGCCTCTCGGTGTGTTGTGTGTGTGTGTGTAGTTGGAGTACCATGCTCGTGCGGAGGAGCGGCGCCTGTGCCTCGAGCGGCAAATCGAGGTGAACCGGTTTGAGATGAATTGGATGTACTGCAAAGTTGACCGGATGAACACCGAGCTGAAGAACCAGATTATCAACAAGGACCGCAAGATCCGGGAGCTGGAGCAGATGGGCGACGACAAAGACAAGGTACTGCACTGCAGACCACAGACAGACCAAGTCGTCTGTATGTCCGTTGGTTTTGGTGGGTGTCTTGTGTCTGTCCACCACCAGGAGTGCAGTCGGCTGCTGCAGCAGAACACTGCACTGGTGCAGACGGTGGTACGCAAGGAATGCGCTGCGTCAAGGTTGGTGCTCTTCCGCTCATGTGTATGACATCATCTGCCCGTCTGTGTACCGCAGGCACACCTGGGGCGCCTCTTGGCTTCGCAGCCCACAGCCGCGCACACCGAGATGGACACAGACCACATCCCAGGTAGATGCTTTCTCGAGAGAGAGAGACGTGGCCTTCTTTCACCTCTGTCCTCTGTGTGTAGGGCCCTCGGCTTCAGGTGGATGTGAGACTGAGAAGGCCAACAGCGTGTGTGGGGAGGAAGAGGCCGCCACTCAGCAGGGTGGGCGGCAAAATGGCACGAGGCACTCATTCCTCATTGCTCATTGCTTATGTCTGTCCTTTGTCTGTCTGCTGTGCTGCGTGTCGGCAGCATCGGAGGCCTCGACAGGGCCGGCCGACACTAACTCCAGCTGCACGGGTACGAACACACTGCTAACAACACACACACAAACACACAGCACGAGAGAAAACTGACGGAGACCCTTCCGATTTTTTCTCTCCTTTTTTGCTTGTCATTGCAGGGCCGATGCGGTCAGCGGCCAGTGAGATTGAGAGCACCGGTCTGGTGCGTCTCAGTGGCAAGACGGACAACGTGCAGCAAGGTATGTGCGTTTCTCCTGCATGTCTCTTGTTTGTTTGTATGTTTGTATGTTTGTATGTTTGTTTGTGTGCAGCGGCCAGCGCTTCATCATCCTCGGCTCAGTCCACCACTACTGGTCTGCATGAGACTGAGGACAAGCAGCTCCAAGGTGTGTGAATGCACAGACAGTGATCAAGATGGCTGGTCAGTCATTTCAGTTGTCAGCATCGTGGCTGCTGTTCTGCCTTGTCTGCAGAGATGACGCCCAAAGCCGAGATCCGCGGTGGCCGCAAGAGGATCTCAAATGTGGGCATGAAGTCGTCGAGGGGCCGGGAGTGACTCTCAAGACCATGTCCATGGCAGTGGGATGATGCGTGCAGTAGTGAGTGTGGTGTGGTGCAAGGAGGGAGGGAGTGGCGGTCGGTCGTATTTGGTCAGTTTGTCTTTGTGGCCGATTTTGCTCTGTCTGTCTGGGGCACTGTTCTCTAGGTATAGCTTTGCCCTGGACGGAGCGATAAGATGAACGCACGAAAACGTGTGTCGTGTCGAGTTGGTCTGTATAATCGACCCGTTGATCGATTGATGCTCATCGATGTATTCATCCATCTGTCTACATCAGTATCTGCTGTCCGTCTGCAATGCACACACATGCGTCTATCGAGAGCCATCCATCCACATGCACCCCCAGGCACCCTCACCCACTCCCATCCATCCATCCATCCATCCACTCAGACAGACAGACAGACAGAGCACCCACCCATAGCTGCATCTATCTACACCCTCTCTCCCTCTCTCCCCTCTGTCCTCTATCCTACTAGGGCAGTCTATGTGTAGCGCCGCAGGATCAGGATGAGGTGGATTATGGCGCCATCCTGCATGTCGTAGTCCGACACCGTACGACAGTTCTCGAGCTCTCTGCAGATAGAAAGACGGACAGCCAGTCAGCCCACCACACACATCGCACATCGTGCAGTGACATGACGCGCGTGCTCATTACGTGCCGCAGAAGAGCAGCCGCTGCTTGACGACCGGGATGCCCTCCGCAAGTCGCACGCCGTACTTGAGGTCCTCTACCATGGCGTCTGGGCGGGCGGGCCCACAGCTCGAAGCTTTTGCCCATTAAGACTCTGACGTAGACCTTGATGAATCTACTGAACTCCTCGCTGCAGCCGAGCAAACACAGACAGACCCAAAAGAGATAAAAGGAATGAGAGTGCAGAGTGCTGAGTGCTAAGAGCTCGCCCACCCTCCCACCCCACGAGCTCTTACCGCGTGGGCGGCTGTGTGAGGACATAGTTGTCCTGGTGGCGAGCGGCTACCTGCCCACCACTGCAGGCACACAATCCCCACGGGCCACACAAACAAGGAAGGCCACCGTACAGCCCATTAGGGCACCCACCCATCTGTCTAGTCACTCACTCACTCAGTCACTCACCAGTAGTTGTGTGTGTAGGGGCGGCCGTACAGCTCTGCAAACTTGTCTAAGGCGGCCTGCCAGCGGCGCATCTTGGCCTCGTCGCTGTCGTACTCGCCCATCGGTTCACTGCATCAGGGTGAGGGAAAGACCCACACACACAGAACACCGCAATGCGCTCTCTGGGTTCTGTGTGTGGGTACTATGGGATGACGGGTTCGATGCCGACGATGCGCGAGAGCGACATGTACAGCACCGGATCGACCAGCACTGAGTGCCACACCTCGTCAATGTGGGCCGGCACCGACAGGCGGCAGCTGCGGTCGTTCTCCACACCCTTCTGCACACACACGTGACACACCAACAGCAGTAAATAGACGTACAATTGCTGCAGCATCATCGTACTACCAGCATCATGAAGAGCAGGAAGTCCCTCACAGCCGCTGCAGGCTCAGGCAGGCCATCTTCCGTGAGGCGGTAGATGACCTCGTGCCACTTGAGCACCATCAGCTGCTCCCACTGACCCGCCAGATGCTGTCAAAGGACACACACGGCACATACGGCACACACAAGCCGCAGATCTCAGCCATCTTTCCTCTTCTCCGGTGTGCCACTCTGTGTGGACAGCGATGAGTGCGGTGTTCGGGCTCACCTCTGGTAGGTCATGCTCCAGGGGCGCCACACGCCCAGCCATCGCTCCGCTTCCTGGGCGATCGCATATGCGAGCTCAAAGGTGAGGGAGGAAAGATGGCGGTCTCCTCATCTGCCGCTGATGGTGGTGGTGGTGGTGCATTCAGTTCTCTGCCTGCTGATCTGTGCATCTGATCATCGAACGAGGTGAGCCGCACACAGACCAATGAGCAGCATGCTTGATGCACACGATCCTCTGTCGGCTCTGCCGCTCTGTGCAGGCTGTCGTCGAGCACATCATAGCTACCCAGATGCAGCAACCAGAGCAGCAGCAGCAGGAGCAGCAGCACCCCTTCTCGTATATCTTCGTCGGCCGCCGCACCTTCTACCTCTTCAGCAGCATCAAGGACATCCTGCGGCTGAGGGCCACCTCCACGTGGCTCAGAGACCTCTTCGGAGCGGCCCAGCTGAGAGATCGGCTCCGCCACTCGCTGGGCTCACAGGCGGGGCTGCGGCGGGCGGTGAATGGGCGGCAAGTGCAGCTGCTGCGGTTCGACGACGACCAGTTCGGCACACATGATCTGCTGGCGGCTGTGTGTGTGGTGGAGGAGGGGCCATGGGATGAGATCGGCGAGGTGATTGAGCTGGCGGGGCAGTGCGGCAACTGTGACCTGCCTGTCATCCTCACATCCGATGACATCAACACACACACAAACAAATCGGTGAGCCAGCGAACAGAGGGGCGGGGAGGGGAGGGAGAGGGCCCCATTCTCTCTGTGTGTCTGTGTGTGTGTCTGTGTGTGTTGTCGTGTGTGTAGGCGTATGTGTCGGCTCCCCGTGTGTTGGCGCAGCTCAAGATGGTCGGCCGCCACGTCCAGTTCGGTGATGACAGCTGCCTGCAGCTGTTCCAGGACAATGGTGAGGTGCGGGCCATCAAGGACCAGCCCGGCTTCCGGCTGACGGTCGATCCGCCCCTCCCCGCCGGCCACCTGTACCAGCAGCACCGACAGCCACACGACCCACCAGTGCATGAGAGCATCATCTACTCGCTCCTCGCCGGCGGCAGATGGGTGTCGATCGGTGGCTTGCCGTTCACAGCTGCGTCAGTGTCGTCATTTGCCAAGGCCATGGTGCTCGACTACTTCGGCAGGACTCATAAGACCCACGTCACATCGATAGACCTCAACAGGTGACAACACACCGACGGCACTGAAGGCAAGAGAGGGTTGTTGAATGTGTGTGTGTGTGTGGTTGGTTGAGGAATGTTGGTGGCGGCCGTCTGGATGACCTGCTGACGGAGTCGCCCCACACACCAGTGGCCGGATGCACGACCACACTCGGGCTGAACGGTAATGAGCGGTTGCTGGTGCTGACCAACAACAACCACAACTTCGTCGCATGGATTTCCATCGCGGATACGGGCGGCACCGGTCAGACTGACAGAGAGGAAGTGTTGATGGTCATACGTCGCGTGTTCTCTTTCCCCGTGTGTGCAGTGGACGTGATTGTCTACACGACTGAGGCGGCTGTGTGTGGGAGTGGTCCCTTCAAGCACCGCTTCCCGTTGACCACTCAGCTGGCTCGTGTGGCGTTGGCGGCGGTGGCGCCGTACTTCTTCGACGGACAAGTACAACAACAGCAGCAGCAGCAGCAGCAGCAAAATGACGATAGCGACGGTAAGGATACGCACCCACACACGGATGGATGGATGGATGGATGGATGACGTGCCTTCTCTTTCTCTGTGTGTTTGTGGTCTGCAGATTCCGACGATGGTGACGATGAGGGTGACGATATGGATGACGGCAGCGGAGAGGGCAGTGGAGGTACACAGACACACACACCACAGCACAGAGGCCCTCACGTCGACCTGCATCGCATACAGGTCTGTGTGTGTGTGATGCACTCGACAGGCGACGAAGCCGCAGCCGAGGGGGAGAGCAGCGGGTGATCCATCAGTCAATCCGCATGGGTACGCAGCGATTGACGTCTTCTGCATGTCGTGTACCTGGATGTTGCCATGTCCTCTGTGTGTGCGTGTGTGGTCAGGAGGGTAGATGAAGTGCTGGCTGCCGTCATCCCCTGCAGCCAGCCATTCGCTTACAGTGAGTGTGGGGTAACTGAATGGCTGGCCGGCTAGGGGTGTATGCCTTGGTGGGTCTGTGGGGTCGGCTCTCCGTCTCTCCTGTCAGTTTTGTGACGCCCCCTCTCTCCCTCTGTCTGTAATTGTGTGGATACGTATCCGCCCGATCTCATGGCTGGGGCTGTCTGTGGGTGTCAGGGTGCGGTGCATCTCGTCACGCCCTCCGATCCACTGCTGGCCGATTTTGATGTGATGGTTCGGCCGGCCGATGTGTGACTGTGTTAAGCTGCCTGGCTGTCTCACTCGCCAGACCTCCCTCTCTGATGATTGTGTGGTGGAGTGTGTCTGGATTGCATGTGAGTATGCCGCGACGGACATGCCAAAGAGAGCCATCAATGGTTGTCGAGTCCATGATTGGCCATAAAGACAAACAGAAAAATACGACCGACGTCCACTCCCTGCGTGTGTGGTCGCATCTCAACAGAAGAATTCCCCATACCCTTATAGGCCAGAAGTGCACACCACACATACGCCCATGTCTCACTCAGACTCAAGCAAGGCGCAGCGCCTGCGGAGACAAAACCCACCCACTGCCATGTGTTGAGAACAATATTTGGACCGAAATCCGAACGAATGATGTCGCAGAGTAAAGAGGGAGGTTGGGGGAGGGACGAGTAGGCTGCAGCACAGGGCGGGATGTGTCATCAAATGGGGGGCTGAGATGGGGGAATGGAATGGAACACATTCGGTTTGCTGCCACGGCAAGTCGGACATCGATGTCAGAGAGCAGGAAGACACGGCAGCCTAGCCACACGAAACTGTGAGAGCGAGGGGATTGCCTCGTGATGGTCAGATCTCCAGCACTGCTGACGGGATGAAACAATTCGACACAGCAGCGGGCTCTTCAGAAGGGCAGCAACATCAGGGGCCACGTATGTTCCATGACCGCACCGTCAGCGAGACGGTGACCGCTCGGGTGTCTTGGCAGTGATGGGGCTGTCGGCCAGCCGAGACGCTCTCTGTCGTGCGTGGTGTTGAGTCGGCAGCATGGCGCGGCTCTTGTGTGACGTGTTGGTCGTCGTCGTGCAGCCACTGCCCGGCCTGGCCGTGTGTCGCTGCATCGTCATAGCACCGCTGTCGCGACTGTTCCTCATCAAAGAGATGGGGACTGGGCCAGCCGCGTCCCTCTTTGGTGGGGCTGACGGCGTATTTCGGTTATCATCGGCTGGCACGGGCGCCGAGAGAATGAAAGGAAAAGAGGGTAGCGGGAAGGGGAGATCGTCTGCTGCAGGGGGCCAACCAACGGAAGGGGAGGAAGAGGGGGGGGGGGGGGGGGG